GGATGGATGGATGGATGGATGGATGGATGGATGGATGGATGGATGGAAGGAAAAATACATAGGCAAGTCACAATGTCATTACTTTATTTTCTTTAAATGTTATTTAGGATTTTTCATTTTTATTTGTGCTTTTGTTACTTTTAATAGAAATATCACCTTATTGTTACCTAACATGATGACAATGTTCACAGTGAAAACACGTTCATTGTTTACTCAAACGTGACCCAACTTTAGCATTTATAAAATCTGAATTTTCCAAAAGATATAAAATTCAGTTAGTCTTATTTAAAATGTTTGTCATGATTTTGGTATTTAGTCATGAATCAGACATTATAAATGTCACGGTGCTAGAAAGTCAAAGAATCACCAGTAATTACACTTTTTCTTTAAGAAGACGTGAACTTATTTAATATCAGTCCTCCAGAGAGTTTTTAAGACATTTAGGAAATTGAATTAAAGCTGGTAAGGGTAAGGAAATGACAAATTATAAAGATTCATCTCCCGGGAACCACATCTTGAATTAATGACATTTAATGTCAGGATATTTATTTTAGATCTTAAGTTGTAGAATAGTGTCTTGACAATGAAGTCTCATGTCTCCTGAGTGATTTAAAATGTTTATAATGACCACTGAAGTGAAAATAGTTTGTTAAAATAATCTAGAATAAAAATGAAAAAAAAAAAAACAGCAAGGAAAAACAAAGGCATAGCGCAAGATATAAAGTTTTGACATTTTATTGAGCTACAAAAGCAAAACTATTCAATGAACTTGTTTTAATCACAGCTCTAAAACTAAAGGAAGATTGTTGGAGTTAAAAAGTTTGGCTGAACAAAAGTTATTTGCACTTTGGTGACGAGTTCACGGAAATCACGTTTATTCTCCTTCCTCATCGATCAGCTTTCCTACGTTTCCAAATTCTTGTCAATAAACAGTTATTATTGTCTGCAAATGCTAAACCAGAAATCATCTTTGCCGTTTGTTTCCATTAGACTTTAGCATAAAATATTTAGATTATGTTTGTTTTACGGCAGAAAAAGTTTGGCTACATCAATTCAGTAATAAAAAAAAAAATCTATAAATATGGTTGTTTTTCGCCACATAGCATCTTTGAGGGCATTGCATTATGTTAATTAATGATAATTGAGGTTACGTAAGCAGGCTTTATATTTATACATTATTAGAATTATTTACATACTGTATACAAAATTCTTACTGACAACAGATGTTTCTGAACATTTGATAAATGTGCATTTTGATTTATTGTATTATTATTATTATTTATTTGTTTATTTATTTATGTTTTGCTTGTACTCAAAATGTATAAAAGCTGTGTGAATGTCAAAGTGCCAAGATTTACAGCTCTAAGCAAAAATCTGTTTGTGATCTATTACTATTCATTACGTGATTTAAAATAACAGCCTGGCATTTTTGGAAACATATTTTAAACTCGTTAAACACATTTTACAAGCAGGTACTGAGCAAAAGAAACATTAAAGTTTCTATATTCACATATTGTCTTTGTTGTTGACATGTATTTTTTAATTACCCATGCATATTTTAGCTTTAATCAGGAAAAATGCAGTAACTGCAACAAGTTGGCGCTGGTGTAGGTTGTGTGAATACATGTTTGCAGGTGCAGGGTCATTTTAGCATCCAATTAGACTAGTTTAGAGCAGATACAGGAAACCTTGATGATAGTTAGGATTGAAATGAGAGTCAGTGTAAAATGCATAATCAGACTTATGCTATAAAACTTCCTAAAATAAGCAGTCTTGACAACAATCCAGTATCTACAGAGACTAAAGTGCAAATGAATCATGTGATAATTGGAGCTTCGGAGGTGCTGACAGGTGGTTATGGTAGCTGTTGTTTTGTTCTATTTATTGTGTAAAAACTCCACCTGCTACTAACCAAGTTGTTAAGACACATAGAAGTGGTTAAAAAAAATTACAAAATACATATTTTATATTTGGAAAATTAATGACTTTACAGAAAACATCAAAATATATCTTACATGGGGCAATGATAGCCAGTGAAGCACTGCTAAATTATGTGCTGTGCTATTTAAAAATATATATACTTTTGCATTATTAAGCAAACCAACTGCGTCAAACGCACAACACTTGGCATATACACACTCTAAGGGTGTAGTACAGAGGTGAAGAAGAGAGTCCAGGCAGGATGAAGTGGATGGAGAAAAGTTTCAGGAGTGATTTGTGACAAAAAGGTGTCAGCAAAGGTCAAAGGAAAAGTTTTCAAGACACTGGTGAGACCAGCTATGATGTATGGTCTGGAGACAGTGGCATCGTCAAAAAGACAGGAGAAAGAACTGGAAGTAGCAGAAATGAAGATGTTGAGGTTCTTCTTAGGAGTGACAAGGATTGATAAGATTAGGAATGAGATCATCAGAGGTACTGCCATAGGCGTTGCAACCATTATATGTGAAGGGGACAAGTCCCCCCCACACTCAAAAAACGTTCATTTAGACCCCCCACCCCCCCCCCCACCCAACACACACACATTTTTACTATAAAACATTAGTTCAGGAGGCGCAGTTTCTCTTTCTTCGTGAACTAATCCATTCCACTTGATTAAAAGGAGAATACTCAAGCCACTAAAACTCCACTCCAGGTTTTCCTGGTTACCTCCAACTCTCCACCGTCCCTTCCTGCCTCTTGCCTCAGCAGAAAACGTGCACAGGTGGAGGAGGTACCTGTGTTACTCGCTCACCAGTTTAGCGAGCTTAGTGTGGGCAGTTGTTGACTTGGGGGGGGTCGATCATAAACATATATTCATGTTAGGAGGATGCTTGAGAGGAGCGCTGTGTCTGTAGCATCTTAGCTTAGCAGTAACTGTGCCGCTGTCAGAAACTGCAGGTGTAAGAGACGCTGTGTGTTCAGGTGCATTAAAGTTGAAATGTCTTTAAAACCCCACACCTTATTGTCCTCAAGCTTCATGAGAAACATAATTTAGTGTTTAGTGTTATGAGTAGTGTTGAACACAAGTAAAAAAAAAGTCCAGTGGTGATGTTTTTATTTCTCTATAAACACAAATAGCGCCGATCTGAGGCTCTGTATTAAAGTGTATTAAAGTTAAAACGTCTTTAAAACCCACAGAGGAATTTACACAAACTTGGTGAGAAACATGTTTTAAATATGTGGAATTAAAGGAAATCTAGGTGAAATGTTGCTTTTTTGTGGCGTGCACACACACGCGCGCACACATACACACCTACAAATATCGTGTCCCCCCCACATTACAGATGCTTCTGACGCCCTCGGGTACAGCACAAGTTGAACAACTGGGAGATAAAGTTAGAGAGGCCAGACTGAGATGGTTTGGACATGTCCAGAGGAGGGACAGTGGGTATATTGGTAGAAAGAGGTTAGAAATGCAGCTGCCAGGAAAAAGACAAAGAGGAGATATATGGATGCAGTTAGAGAGGACATGTTGGCGTGAGGACAGAGTGAGATGGAAGATGAGGATTCGCTGTGGCAATCCTTAGAAAGGGAACAGCCAGAAGTAGACTTACCCTGAGAGTGTACGCTGACTGACCCGGGAGTTCAGAAACATCCACCTGTGCCAAATCGTCGGTGTGTGCATTGAACCCATGGATGAGCAGGACTGGCCCACTGTACACAACGTCCTGCAAAGGAACTAGATTCAGATCTTCATCCACATGGAATCTGGGATCTGACACGTCAAACGTCACATCCGTGTTCCCTGCGCAGTCATCAAACTTAACTGGAAAAAAAGAGAAAAACAGAACACACAAAAGTTGTTTTTGACATCGCACTAATCAGATTATAAACAGACACGTCAGGAGGAATAAGGCCAATGACAGCTACTGAGGGAACTCTGCAGCGCGACGTTAAAACTTGAGGAGCTGTCAAACAATACATAAAAGCAAGATATTCAGGTATAAACTGATAATAACGTAACTGATGATAAAATGTAATGTTTTTATGCTATTAGTACTTAGTGTATTTTTAGTTGATGTCTTTCTTTGTTCATATCTTAGATGTTATTATTGTTTTTCTTTTACATTTTATTGTTGGATGTAACTGGGACCCTGTGTACATAATTTCGTTCCACCACATGTACCACATGTGATGCGAATGACAATAAATAAACTCTGACTCTAATAATCTGAAGATAGACATATAACCAGTGCAGAGTAGCATGTTCTCAGGGAATGTCAGTGAAGCTTTAAAACCAGTGATTATAACCTACAGAAAAATATGCTACCCAGTGTAGACCTTTGCAGGAGTTTAACAGCAGAGAAATCAGTGCTGCCAAGTTGCAAGGCAGGGAGACAAAGTAGTTTGATGAGCAAAAAAAGGAACAAGTCATCTTTGAGTTCTGAGAAAGTGACGTAAGCACATGTGGGCTCGGTCCGCCTGACTGAAGGAGATACTGCCAAAGACTCTACCAGGAATTATCCCTTCTGATCTTCTTCATCCTTTTTTATCTCTCGCTCACACTCCCATTGGTGTTGCAACATGATCCCCATGTCCTCCCCCACCCTTAGCCCCGCCAATCCTCCTCTCCCTCATCCGTCACCCCCTCTTAACCTCCGTCTCCCATGACGATCCTTACCGAGGTGGATTTGGGAGGAAAGGAGGGAGTCAGAGGAAGTCTGGGTGTGTAAATGAAAAAGTGAGTACAGCAGGCAGCATGCTGCTCTGTGGAACCTTCAGTGTGAAGGTGAGGCAACATTTCAGACCTCTAGTGCCCCCCTCAGAAATATGGTTGGTTGCTATTTATTATATTAGATTTTTCTTTTATTTTTTTTGTTTGTTTTTATTTTTTCTTCTTTTTTTTTCTTTAGATCAAACTGCTTAGTTGAGCTGAAAAGTGACTTTGTTGTCATGGAGGTGTGTGCCTCTAACTGAGACTGGCTAGATCACCGCACCATACCTGCTTCATAGGAGATTTAAATGACGATGCAATGAATTCAAAAGCTCATGATTGGGCTAAACAATTATTACATTATCAAATAACAGAATAGCAAAAGCTTTATTGTCATGTAACAGTTCCATCAATGTGACACTTTGAAACCTCGGTCAAATTTTGACATTTTAATCATTAAATGCAACAAAAATAAAGTTTAATCAACTATTGATTCATAGCCACTGGGTTTCAATCTCAACAAATCCTCTCTATTGACCAGGACTCAGCATTTTTTTTTCAATTAACCTGCTTGACTTTCAGCAAGAAAGATAAATATCAAAGATACAGTAGAAAAAGGCAGGTGGTAAGCCACAGGGCCATCAGAACCATTAATTCTGATTCATTAAACTCCACACAAAAAGGTCCAAAGCCAGTAGGCGATTCTGCAACTTTCTCGTTGAAAGGTGACAGATCTAACCACTGCTCCCCCGTGATATAAAAATTAATCCAATTCTATTTTAATTTGTCAAAGGAAGAAAAGAAAACTCGCCTCTGTGTGTTCCCCACACTGGAGACCGACAGTCCATCTCAAATGAGAAACATGTTTGAACTCAGCTTTATAAAAGTTTTGAGAGCAGCTTGGAGATCAATATTGCCTCTCTAAAGACACAGCACAGCTTCAGACATTAGTACAAAGGAGACTCCAAGCCTTTTATGACAACCGACTAATAAAAAGATAAGACCACAAACTAGATTACTGTAGATCCACAGATATTGGTCTGCAGTATTCTGACTTATTCACAGATTGGTCTTAAATTCATTTGCAATACATGAGTTCAGGTTTAACAGCAGAAAAAATAAATATTTTTGAAGAATAGATGAGCTGCATGCTCATAATGCGACTTATAAGTTATTCTTATTTAAGGTGAAAATGAATGTTACCAACTTTCAATCTGTTTACTTTTGTACAAACTTTATCCTGTTCAGAGGGAGCTCTCTTCCAGCGGGCAAGCCACAATGTTTCTATGTGCACTGAGAGCTTTCATAAAACGTTACTAAAACTGCTTTCTTCCACCTGCGTAATATCACTAACATTAGAAACATCTTATCTAAACATGATGCAGAAAAACTAGTTCATGCATTTGTCATGTCTCAACTGGACTATTGCAATGGTTTATTATCTGGATGTCCAAATACTTCTTTAAAAAGTCTTCAGTTAATCCAAAATGTTGCTGCCAGAGTCTTAACTGGAGTTAGTAGGTAGGAGAGATCATATCTCTCCAGTTTTAGCTTCTCTCCACTGGCTCCCTGTCAAATCTAGAATTGAATTCAAAATCTTACTTCTAACCTACAAAGTTCTCAACAACCTAGCTCCATCTTATATTACATACCTTATTGTTCCATATTTTCCTAACAGAGCACTTCGCTCTCAGTCTGCAGGCTTACTTGCGGTTCCTAGAGTTTCCAAAAGCAGAATGGGTGGAAGATCTTTCAGTTATCAGGCTCCTCTCTTGTGGAACTAACATCCAGTTTCTGCCCATGAGGCTGACACATTGTCCAGTTTTAAGAACTGGGCTTAAAACTTTCCTTTCTGATAAATCCTATAGTTAGGGTTGGCTTGTTATGCTGCCATAGAGTTAGACTACTGGAGGACAAATTGACCCTATTTCCTTAAATTAATTGTTCAAATTGAATCGTTTTTATTTGATATTATTTATATCTGGACATGTGATTCTTGACCTGCCATTGTATATCTGTTCCTATCAAACCCAGTCAGTCGAAGCAGATGGCCGCTTGTCCTGAGCCTGGTTCTGCTAAAGGTTTCTTCCTCACAAGGGAGCTTTTCCTTTCCACTGTTGCCTTCATGCTTGCTCAAGATGAAAATCTGCAATGAAGTTAAACTCAAAGCAGTCTGCACCTCAGATAATTAATGTTATTAACTTACTTTGTATGTATATGAATGTTTCTGAGATTACTTCTGTTGTGACTTGGTGCTATATAAATAAACTGAATTGTAAATGCATTAATCCCCTTCTATATTAGAAACAAAATGCAACAAAACAAAACAAACACACACAAAAAAGAACTAAAAACATAACAAAATAAATGATAATGTATATGCTGTTAAAGGACTACATGGTTTTAAACAATCTGTGTGTCTTTGTGTGCTTGGCTGCAGAAAACTTACATTTTTGTTCATGTATATTATTATTGGTTGTTCTGAAGTTGGAATCAGAATTACCTCATGTTAATAAAACCTTTCCACATCAAGGGAAATTCTGGTAAATATAATTTATGCAAACTTGACATAACTCCAGCAAGCATCTGGCAGTTCACCAGAGAGCATTTCCCAAATAGCAGATGAAAGTTCAGATGAAAAGGTTTGTTTTCATGTGTCTGCTTTTTGTGTGGGCAACACCCACACTACAGTTATTTATCAGGAAAATGAGACTGTCTCAGATAACACATTTTCATCAATGCTGCGTTGACTTTGGTGTTGTTTATTTAAAGAACCATGTATTCTGTTTAAACTTTGAATGGGAGAAAAGAGTAAATTTGACAAGAGAAGCAGGGGATTGTTAAAAAAAAAGTGTAAAAATATCTATATATTTTCTGTTTTTTATAATATATCTTGATTTAAACTTTTTCCAATAAAAATAATATACTTTATTTTTTTAAGAAGCATGAAAAAATACAAATCCACACATATTTTGATCATTGTTTTCTCTTTTTTAAATATATAAAATTACTTGTTTATGACATTGAAATGATATATCCCCACTGTATGCCCTGCTGCAGCTAAGATGTTACCCTGTCTACTGGTCTACTGAAGTAAAAACAATATGAGCATTAATGAAATTGTGGTTAAAAAAAAAAAAAAAAAAAAATATATATATATATATATATATTATGAATTGCAAAGGAAAATGCCATCCTTATTTGGAGAAAGCAGTGCACCAACGAGCTCTGTCCATGGTTTTGCTTGTGGCTTCATTGTGCTGCAGACACGACTGACTGAACAGAACAGAAACAGCCAGAGCTGAGCATACGGCTCATACAACTGTACAATATACATTTATTTATAAAGCACATTAAAACAACACTGCTGGCCAAAGTGCTGAGCACAGTGACATTCACACAAAAACGTGAGAAAAAAAGAGAGAGCTGCAAAAAAACGTTTAAATTTTCATGGTGAAGTCATCTGAAACAAGTGTACAAATACAAGCCTTCTACATCGATATGTTAGCAGAGAGCTAATAATCTGAAGCTAATTGCTTATTTGAAATAATGTTAGTTAGTCAACTGTAACAAATTACCCTCCACCACAGGAATTTGTTTACTCAACTGTAAAACTTTCAATGATTTAGAGAATGTAATTATTTTATACTTGAAACATGGAACAAAAACACTCAGCCATGGTCTTGGTCTTTCGACTGACTGATGCTTTCATGTATTCTGATCAGCTGACATCCAGCTGTTATTATCTAATGTTTGGGGTAAATAACTTGGTATGTGTTTACAAGTAATAAAAGAGCAAACCAGAATTTTCTACAAAATGTGAGCAGCTCCATCAGTTTCCTTTGTGCTGTAGAAGCTTCACACGCTGACCTCGGGTCTTGACTTCTGACCTTTATCTTGTTTTTGCTTCATCAAAATTACCCCAGAGAAAAGAATCAAAGCCAGCAGGAAAAAAGGTTTTTGAAAAAAGGGTACATAGAGGCAGGAACTGTGGAAAAATGCCAACACTTTTTGTGATAGAAAAAAAAAAAAAAATTTTATGATACATATTTATATATATATTTATA